AAAAAAATAAAATAAATTAAAACAAAATACCAAATCTATCAAAATTGCTGGTAAGATTAGAGAAAATTGATAAATTTATATATTATTCGTCATGTGATAAACTAATAACATTTTAGAAAATAATAAAGCAATAATTATCATAAAGTTATCCACTGACATACTAGTAATCTTAGTCTTGAAAATTCATCTAAGACATTCACCCTGAAAATATAATTTTTAATAACTTTTAAAGTTATATACAAGAACTAGAGGCCTGGTGCATAAAATTCGTGCACGGGTGCAGTCCCTAGGCCTGGCTGGCGATCGAAGGGCAAGCGTCTGGCGTGGAAGGGCAGGTCCCAGCCGATCTCTGGGCCCTGGGCAGCACCTGGGCCCCCACATGCCCCTCTCTGCCTGAGTCATTGGGTCCCCGCCAGGCTCCCTCAGTGCCTGGGAGCCAGGCGGCAGCCCGCTCCCATCTGCCTTGGCCTGGTGCCACCTGCTCACCTGCTCTACCATCCCGCCAGGGTTCTACTCTCATCAGGGCCCATCGGGGCTGGCAGTGCCTCCACTGCCACCCTCTGCCAGCACCATGCTGCCAACACCCACCATGTCCCACGCCACCCCCTGGTGGTCAGCGCACGTCATAGCGAGCGGTCGAACTCCCGGTCAAGGGGACAATTTACATATTAGGCTTTTATTATATAGGATAGGTTCACTACAGTGTTATCTCTAATAAAAAACTTAAATAATAATGTAACTTAGAAAGGTAAGGTACATTATGAACTATCAATTAAGAAAATACTATGCACAGACATACAATTATAATGAAAAACAATGGTTAACAGTAATAAAAATATACTTATGTTACATGAAAAAGTGGAGTTTAGCAAGTATATTAATATCGTCACATACTATATGTTTAAATACATTAAAATACAATGTTAAGATAAAGTACATTAAAATAATTTCATTTCTGATTAAAGAAAAACTTTTATCACACATCTATGCCAAGATCAAAATAGTTTTCTGATACACTTTTTAATTACTCTAAAAGTGAGTAGAGTATCTTTTTTAAATGAAAATAACATAGAATACCTTTTTACCAGGGATAGGGTAGTCTAAAATGAACAGTGCTTCCTTATACCACAGAACTCAACACCAATATGAACCTACCTTCAAGACCAAGGTCTTTAAGGACATGATAACCACCTGGCTGCAGAAATTCTCCAACTATCCTGTCAGGCTCTTGTAAATCTCTCTCAATTACTGTCACCTTTCTTCCATCTCTGGAGAGCACTGCTGCCAAAGCAGAGCCAAGGACACCAGATCCCACAATGATAACTTCCGGGTCATTTTGAGAAGATATCGATGTAGAGGCAGCTGCTCCTATTAAGGTGGTTTCTGAAATATTGGTTCCTTTTTTGCACTGTTTCAAAAAAAAAAAGGAAATTATTTTTTTTTACTACCCTTAAATCTTATTGCTACTATACAGACACATTGGACTTTTGCATCTGGGAAAGCTACCCCCTAACCATTACCAAACCAAACGAACCATTATGTCCTTAAATCCTGATCATATATGAAAACCAACAACACTAAAATATTGAAGAAATAAAAAGGTATAATAATATCCCAATAAAATTAAGTGTATATTCCTTTTCCAAATATGGTATTTAGAAAATGCTGTGATACAGATATATTTAGAAATTCACACCAGGCAAAATATAAAAAAAATGTTTACAGGGGGCTTCAAAGGCTTATTATAGGGAAAATTCTATCATTAATTACTCAATTCTTCAAACATAATCTGAGAATCTGCCAAATGCAAATCACATACAACTTCCAGTTGGACTTCATGTTGCAAACTATTCAGCACCTTTTACATATTGCCACTATTCACCTTTATTTTCTCCTTCTGTACTGTCATCTGAAAAATCTACCTCAATCTAAAATCACTTCTATGTAACAAATTGTCAGATTTTGCCTACTCACCTACTAATTGAGAATTATTTAACTCTACAAAATTCCAAAAAGAACAAAATAGCTCCTTGTCCCTTGGAACTTGACCTGTTCACAATTTTAGTCTTTGACATGTAAGAACATATTTAATTTACTCCTTCATTTTAACTCTGATTCTCTAAGAGAGCCTGGTCAGTAATGTCAATCAAGTTGGTCCTCCAATTTACTAATAAGGACAAACATTAAACCTATCACTAATTGGGCTGACAGTAAAAACTTTAACTTTGAACATAAGAAGATGAAAAAGTCCTGTTCTGAGAGATTTATGCCCACTGATAATAACAGTGACTGTATGGGGGTTTTTTTTAATGAACAATTCAATGCTGTAATAAGTAATTTTTTTCTTTTTTTGGCCTATGGATTCACAAATATGACTACATTTCATTTCAGGTAAAGGTTTGCAAGGAACCATCTTCCTTGAGTTCTCTGACCTTAAGGATTAAAATAAGACTAATTGTCATTTTGAAGTGTTTTTAATAAAAGAGACCTCAGGCAGAAAGGAAGGAAATAACCCCAAAAATCCTTTAGAACTTTAATTCTCTGTGATCCTAATATTCTTTTATTATGTTTCCATAATGGACTGGGGCCTTGTCCATTCCATTTTTTATCATTTTTCTTAGGGAAATTAACTTCCTGTCCTTTACCAAGAGAAGCCGAGAGTAGACTCTTCCCATTAGTATAGCATCTCTTACTGGCCAGAATAACTGACTATATATAAATTATTGTTCTGAGAGCAAGATAAGCTCCTTTTGTCATCTTATGCCATTTTAAATTAGTTTTTCTTCAAGGTTTTCCCTGTTACACACACACACACACACACACACACACACACTCAATCCTGGTGGAATGGAACACTGAAGGAAGTCAGAACCTGGTCAGGAGAAGCAGCACTGAAGGGAACTTAGTACTTAATAAAAAGCAGAAAGCCTGAGGCATTCACAGAGTGGGAGCAAGGCAGACTGCAGCTAACCCAATGCTCCTACCCCAAGATTTGTCTACACAGCATGATGTGACGCCATTCCTTCAAGGACCCTGAGGGACAACAATACCCAAGATTTCAATCTGAGAATCAAAGTTTCCCCCTCCCTCCTCTCCCATTCCTCCAGCCTACACCCACCATCCCACTACTCAAAAGGCTCCTAGCAGATGCATCCTACCTTTAGACTAACATTAATAACTACTATTAGACAGTTATGGACCAAGCATTAAATCATTTAATTTCCTACCAGTAAGGCTGCTACCGTCCCCATCTAACAGAAGAGACAACAGTCTTACAGAGACTAAGCCATTTGCCAAAGGTCTCACAGCCACAGGTAGCACAACAGAACTTCTAAACCAAGTCCCTGTCTCCTGCAGGCTTGCTGACCTGTACTGTGGATGTAAAACTAATGCAGCCCCGGAACCCTGACTCTGCGGGCCTCTACCCTACGTCCCCCCTCACCTGGTCTACCGCTGGTCTCTGCCCTGAAATCCTGGCTTCCAATCCTGTCTCCTACAATCGTCTTCACACAGCAATTGGAATGCTCTTTTTAAAAAGTAAATCAAATACTGTTACTCCCATGCTTCAAATCCTCCAGTGCTCTTGGGAAGAGGTCCAACACCAATTGACCAATAGGCCTAGAGTTCTGGCTTAACAGCCTCATCTCCACTGTCCTCCTCCACTGCTTTCCCAAGGATCATAACTTCGAGTGGATTTGAAGCTGTCTTTGGTTTGGAAACATGACTGCACTGTGAACATTGCTCACTTACTCACCTCATCAGGGCATCGCTGCAGCGATTTGCTCAAGGCCCCAGCGATGTGGAAAGCGAGCACTGTGCCCGTGGCCGCAGAATGCTGGGCACCGTCATTCTGCCCAGCCAGCTGTCACTTCTGGACACGGAGGACTCACCTGCAGCAGGTGTCCTTCTTCCGGGTACCGATACCAACCGCACCCAGGGATTTAAATAAAACATTCTTTTTTCCATCACAGAAAGTGATTCTGTCCTCCTTCAAAATGAAATTCTAACCTTCCATGTCACCTTTCATAATCAAACCGATATTCATGATGAAATCAACATTCATAACATAATTTCATTTAGTCTTGGCTCAGACAACACTACATGAAATGTTTCCAAGTCCTTGCTGAGAGTGCCAAGGAACAGTCAAAAGCTTTTTAAAACAAAACACACAAAAAACCACCAAACAAGTACATGAGAATTCATGCCTGAGTATCTACACCTTTTAGAGAAAATGGACATTTGAGTGACCCCAACCCTAGTTTTAAAATAAGACACGCATTCCTTTGACCACTTTGAATATTCAACCCACCTTCCTGGACCCGAGCTGCTCGTTATTTTCTGTCCCCGGCGGGGATTTGGCCCAGAAGAAGCCGATGAAAGGCAGGGCCGCCAGGAGGTCGGAGAAGACGGCGAGCTGGGAGCCCTTCTGCTGGCGCCGCGGGAGGGCCCCGCCGCGGGAGCGGCAGCGGCAGCGGTAGGACAGCACCAGGCCCAGCGACAGGAACACCAGCACGCACAGCAGCAGCTCCTTGTTGGCCCAAGTGACCACATCCCCGCATTTCTTATAAAAGTACGTGAAGGTGGCAAGGCCGAGGAAGGTCCACATGGTCGATGCTGAGATCCTCTGCTGTCCTTGTAGGACGCTGATGATTCGAGATTCTCCCCAAAATGTGTTCCCAGAGGAAGCACCGGGAACCGGCCCCGCTCCAGGGACCGTCCTCACAGGATTACAATTCCAATCAGGCTCATTTAGAAAATCCTAACGCGAGTATGAAAGTATCTGAACGGGGAAGGTGGGGCTTGGCAGTCTGTCAAAACCGCCTGCTCCCACGGCTCCGGGCTTAGACTCTCCTCTCTCTGGGGCCATCCATTTATGTTTCTTCCTTTCTTTTGTGAGATGGGTTTCCCTGAGGGTTGTTGCGGATGATGGTTTCAGTTCTGATGGTGGCTCATCGTGCTGTAAAACGCTCTCTCAACAGCAGCAGGTGCCCTACAAGAAGATGGAGGAGGAAAAAGTCAAATACCTTGGCGCCGAGAAAAATGCGGCCTTGCCTCTTCCGCCGGCGATGGCGGGGCGAGCGCGGAGTCGGAGTCCTCGACCCGCCCCTCTCTCCCGGGCGACCCCACGGGTGGAGCCCGCGCAGCCCGCGGCCGAGGGGAACCTGCCCTACAGGGCTGCCTCCTCCCCCCCCACCAGGTGGACGAGGACTCCAGGCGGCGGCGCCCGGGAAAAGGGGCGCGGCCCTACCTGGAGACTCTCCTCGGCGGCGGCTCGCGATCCAGCCTCCTCACCTTCCAGTTCGCCACCTCGTGTCCCCGCGAGTGAATACAGGTCTCCAGGCGGCGGCGGCGGCGGCTCCCTACGGCGTCCTCTCCGGCATCCCTCGCGCGGTAACCAAAGTAACCGCCGCGCGCCCTGCGCCTGTCCCCGAGCCCTGCGCGCCCCGCGGCCAGAGATCCCGACCCACGCGAGGGACCAGGGGGCGTGGCTCCAGAGAGCGAGCCCGCCCCGCCCAGCGCGCCTCCGCGAAGGCCCCGCCCACCTCCGCCGCCGTCCAATGAGGGCGCGCACGCGCGGTAGGCCGAGGTGGCGCTATGCGGCGTTTGGCCAATCGCGGGCGGCGCAGCCCTCGCGGTGACGCCCCGGCAGGCGCTAGGGCGATGTTGCGTGGTGTGGGGTGGGGGCGTGGGTCTCGCCTGGCTGTTCGGTGGGCGGTGGGGAAGGCCCGGCTGGATCCGGAGGAGGTGGGGCGCGGCCCAGGGTCCCGAGGTCAGTGTACCCGCCTCAGCCCCAGCCGCTGAGGTCCTGTCCCGGGGAAGGTGGGGTCGGTTCCGAGGAAATCCCGCCCGGAGCTCTCCCGCCTAGAGTCTGGATGATGTTCCCATTCATTCCGTGAGCACTTACTCGGCGCTTCCTAACCTGCCGGCCCCGGGGTTGTCGAGACGAATCAGATACCACCTTTTGGCCCTGTGCCCGGTGTGTAGGCAGGAAGGGCTGGAGGACGTGACTTTCGCCGAAAACGGAAGAGCGAGTAGGCGGGCATTTGCCTGTGGGAGAGGCTCTGCCAGGTGTTGCCTTCCTCCACACGTTGTCAGCGAAGACTCGTCGCTGTGCTCAGACTAAATACGCTGACGTGCCTCGCCCCTGTTCTCTCAAAAGCAAAGACATGGGGTTGGGGGGAGGCCATGGGGGTGTTGCGTTTGGGGCAAATTATGTTCAGAGACAGGTTGCCTTTCCCAGATATTTACTTAACACGGGTTCACCGTGGGCATTATAACTTACAATAGTAATATTTCACAGGCCAATAGCATATAGGATACTGTCCTTTAAACTGGTAACTTTACAAACCAAGGACAGATTTCACTACCGCACCAGGCAAAGGGGGGACGAGAGTCCAACTTCAGTGACGTAATAACTTTCTCCAGGTTTGTTCTTGGTGGAGTCCGCGCTTCCCACCAGCTGCCAGCGTGGTCCCTGGCATGCCGGGGCCGGTGGCCGGGGTTGCTCCTAAGGGTATTGCAGGGACCTGTACGTGGTACACAGCACAGCCTACAGCAAATGGCCTCACCACGGCAGGAGCATGTCCCTTCTCTTCCTGATGCTGCTGCACAGTGTATGGCCACTGTCCCTGCCAGCCAAGGGCGGCCCGACCACAACCCGGACCAAGTTCTCAAGATCTCTTAGAGCTATTTAGATAGGCCAGCAAAGGGCAGCTTTGTCCAAACCAAACACTCAGTAAAGCCTCCTAAGTTCCCGGTATTTCAAGTTTAAATATCACATTTGGAGTATCTGGGTGGCCCCGGTAGTCATGAGGGTCCTTACAAGTGAAGGAAGGACTCAGAAGGTGAGGACCGGAGGGATGGCCCCATGAGAAGAAATCGGCCTAACAATGCTGGCTTTGAAGTTGCAGGAAGAGGGCCAGGAGCCAAGGAACGCACGAGGCCTCTTCAGGCTTGAAAAGGGTCCCAGAGAGTCTCCCGACGAAAGCAGCTCTGTTGACTTTAGCCCGTTTTGGACTTCTAACCCTCTAGAACTGTAAGTTAATAAACTTATGTTGTCTTAAACCACAAGAAAACAGTATCACATGATCGTTTTTCCTCCACAGGTTCTTATAGATAAGGTCCCGGTGATGCCCCTCAACAGGTGTCAGTGACATCCTGGCACAGCTTCCCTTAATTTAAACCTGAAGTGGGAAACCTGTTTCCTACCAAGCACCATTCGGGTATTTATAACATCATGTGCAGGCCATATGAAATTGTCAACTTAAAAATTAGCCTGCTAGATTTGGTCAAACTTTTAATTAACTCACCCCCAATGCCTTGGGCAGGACCAGACTAAATGATTTCACGGGTCTTATATGGTCCGAGGGCGGGCCGAACTTTCCCCACCCCTGATTTAAACAAAATTCACCCATGGGTCAAAGCAACTTCACTGAAGTCACAAACAAGTTCATTTGAAATCATAACCAATACACAACAGGGGCAAAGACGTAACACAAAGGGAGGTGTGTCATAAGTGCCCTGAGAGAGTGGGTGAACTGGGAACCATGGAAACAGGAGACAGTCCTTCACTGGCCAGGAGGGACTTAGGTAAGGTCTGGGGAAGTTAAACTTGAATTTGTTCAGGACAAGCGTGCTAATGAGAACAACAAAAGTGTGCAAGAGTCAGGGTGAAAGATGGCCCCTGTTATAAAATGATGAAACTTCCCTAGAATTTATTTTTTTTTAATTTTTTTTTATTTTTAAATATATTTTATTGATTTCAGAGAGGAAGGAAGAGGAAGAGAGAGATAGAAACATCAATGATGAGAGAGAATCATTGATCAGCTGCCTCCTGCACGCCCCTCACTGGGGATTGAGCCTGCAACCCAGGCATGTGCCCTTGACTAGAATCGAACCTGGGACCTTTCAGTCCGCAGGCCGACACTCTATCCACTGAGCTAAACTGGCTAGGGCGTCCATAGAATTTAGTGACCCGGTGGATGACCAACTTTAAACCCTATGACTCATGTACAAATCCTTTCTGCCGTTCGGAGCACAGCTGAATTGTCACCTTTTCCAAGTCTCCACTGACCCTCACCAAGTCACATCATAGTTTATTCATACCTTATTGTTCCAAGCTCTGACAGTACATTTAGGGTTAAGTCTTATCATCCCACTAGCCCCTATGTTCCTTGAGGGAAGGATCTGTGTCTGATAAATCAGAATCATCCACAGCATCACAGCATTTACCACAATGCTTTGAACTTAATTTATCCTCCATAAGAATGTAGTTAATGAATGAATGAATGATGAATGACAGTAGTGTAGTAGGAAGACTGGGTGACTAGAATCAGGAGACCTAAATTCTGGCTGCCACGAACCAGCTCTGTGACCTTGGACAAATCAAAAGTCAGTCACCATGGGGGGGGCTGGGGGCGGGCATCTGTCTTCCTTGCCATCCTGCCGGACACTGCTGAATTTAAGGAAGTATGGCACCAGTTACCATTTTCACCCCAAATACTATGTTTTATCTGCTACTAAAATAATCACGTGTCAAAACACTTTCGTGGGCATCACATGACCCCCAGAACAACTTTCCTCAACTGTTCTTCCTCTTAGTACTTCTGGACTTTGGCCTCAGATCACTTCTCTAGTTCTTAGAGCAGCTTCTGCTGACATTTACTGGAATTGTGCCCTGGGCTGTGTAAGAAAATATCCAAGTAATTCTTAAAATGATTCAACCAAAGTGTCACACAGCTGACCCTAACCCAAGAGAGGGAAAGGAATAGGCTGGGGAAAGATCCAAACAAGCTGCCTTAAAAGAGGTTTCAAGCATTTAAAGTTATTGACCTTGAATTACATGTTTTTCTCTCCCACCCCCTCCAAAAGGTATTTAACGAAATTATTTCACTGGAGTAATTTAAATTGATAAACATTTCTGGAAAGTGTAGGGTGCGGCTATAGGGTTAAGCCTCGGACTGACCTGTTAGCAAAGCTACAAACAAGTCCCAGCTTAGAGGGCACAGTCCTCTTAGCATAATTAGGCTTGACCTTATGACGCTCCCTAGAGCTTATCTGGGTAGCTAATGGGCTGAGGGAGATGCAGCAAGTGCTGCCAAAACAAGTGAAACTCACAAGAACATTGTAACTATGATGACCACTACCTTGTTTACCTCTGGCTATAAAATAAAGGCTCAGCTGGCCTCTGGATTTCTCTCTCTGTGGCCTCAGCCAGGCACAGGAAGATCCACCTAGACCCAGCTTATTCTCTTTGTCATTTCTTCATCCTTCACCGCCCTCACTCAGGCTTATGAACCCTTGGCTGAGCTGGCTCGGCACAGGAAAGTAATTAAGTAATATGCCTTTAAAACTTTATGCCCTTTGACTCAATAATCTCATTGTTAGGAATTCACTGTATGGAAATAGAGATGTACACTAAGATTTGTGTAACAACACAAAGCAAAAAAGCAAAAGCAATCACAACCACCATACCGAAACAAAACCACCACCAAAAGACAAATAAACCCTGTTTACCGTAGTGTTATTTTTAATAGCAAACAACTAGAAACAATATAAACATCCAACATCAAACAAATGGTTATGGTACATCATTCAATGCAGTATTATGAAACCATGAAAAACCGCATAATAATTTAAAACAAGTAAATTGACAAATGATGTGAAATTAGGAAAAAAGACAATAATATATGACAATTGTGTGTGTGTGTGTGTGTAACACACAATAATATATTAGAAAAGTGGTTATTGGTAAAGATCCCAGAACTTTCATGGTAAGTGATCTCAGAGGAAAATGATTTCAGGTGATTTTTATTTTGGTGTTCATACTTTTATGTTTTATACTTTGTATATTTTAGCAACTCTGACTTTAATGACCAGAAAGTAAGCTATTTTAAGAGAAAATCTTCCACCTGTATTTGTCAGTCTAATCAACTAATACTTTTCTAAATCTGACCATTTATCCATGGCTCAAAATTAATCCTGACCCTTTTTTAACTAAAGCATCTACTTCATCCCACACTGTGTCAAATCCTAGGATATTTATTGCTTTTACCAGTCAAGCAATGTTAGACCAGTAATCTATCTATCTTAGCACCCACAGGCTACCTCTGCTTGTAAGTGGCCACATGCCCATGATGTTAATGATTGCCAAGCATCCTGTATCTTTTATAACCAAGCATTTGGACCATCCTTAGCCTTGACTTGATTCCTAGTTCACTGGGAGGGGAAGGTGGGAGAGGGAAGGAAGGGAAACAAAACAAATGATAGAAAAAACACACACTAATTTTGGGTTAGAATACAGTTGAACAAGGCAGAGGAGGTTAGGGTCAAAGAGAGGTAGAAAACAAACACGAAATGAAAGAGATAGGGGAGTAACAGGAAGGGTAATTTCCAACAGAAAAGGCAGCAGTTACCCAAATGCTTGCCATATTACGATACTGATGTGCTACATTATCAGCCTACTTACTCTTAGTCGTGCCCCTCATGTTCACAGGATAAACAATAACAAAGGGATTGTGCAATTTTAGTGGGTCCAAAGGACACCCAGGTGTCTGAGGCTACCTTCAAGATGATCCAACTGGCCAGTGTGACTAAGGAACAGGATTTTAAATTTCATCTTAATTATATAAATTTAAATAGACACAGGTGGCTAGTGGCTATTCTATTAGTGCAGTTCTAATACTACAAAAGTTAATGTTCAGCAATTGAAAATGCATTTTTTAAAATGAATCTTTTCTTCCTTAAGACCCAAAGAACAGCCAGGAAATCAGATTATTTGTTCAAAAAAATCTTTCTCTGGATAAATCCCTGAGACCAGTAATGATTTATTGCCACCCAACCAGGAAAGAGAAAATAAGGCAATTCAATGGGTATCTCAGCTGCAGGCTCTCGGGTGTCATTTTGTTTACTCTCTGGGTTACACTTTAGTTTTTTTCTTTCTTTTTTAAAATATATTTTTAATTGATTTCAGAGAGGAAGGGAGAGGGAGAGAGAGAGAGAAATATCAATGATAAGAGAGTCATTGATCGGCTGCCTCCTGCACACCCCCTACTGGGGATCAAGCCTGCAACCCAGGCATGTACCTTTGGCCAGATTTGAACCTGGGACCCTTCAGTCTGCAGGCCAACGCTCTATCTACTGAGCCAAACCGGCCAGGGCACACTTTAAATTTTCTTTTGAAGCTCTTCCTATTTTACCTTAGATCAAAACAAATTTCTTTTTCTCCATCCATGGCAGTATCTCTCACTGGGCAGATTCAATGACCTAGTTAGTGATCTAGATCTTCCCATCCTCCCAAGAGGTTCACCTTTTCTAGATGTTTTGGCAAACAAACCAAAGAAACTGTGTAGGGAGTGGCTATAGGTCAAGCCTCAGACTGACCTGTGGAAGAGCCTCATACAAGTCCCAGGTTGGAGGGCAGAGCCCTCCTAGCACAATTAAGCTTGACCTTATAGTCCTCCCTTGTTCCTAGGTCTAGCTAATGGGCTGTGGGAGGTGTATCAATTGCTGCCAAAACAAGGCTTGAGTAACAAAATAGATTATTGTAAACATGTTGACCACTCCCTTTGTTTTGCTTTGTGTGACCTGACTATAAAATAAAGCTTCAGCTTACAGGCTGTGTCACTGTTTCCTCATCCAGGCAGTGATCCACCCGGTCCCAAGTGTATTCTCTTGTCTGCTTTAATCCTTCACCGCCCCTCCTCAGGTGCCCCCCTGGCCGACAGGGTTCATTTTGTAGTGCAGTGATCAGAGAACACCTTAAAAATAATGTCCCAAAAAGAAAAGTGGACTTTGGGACTTAAGAGGAAGATGAATTTGGGACTGAAAATGATGAGATGAGGGCCAGTTCTCCTGAACAGTCTTTCCAAGTCCATTCAGGAGGAAAATCTTCAACCTCAGGAGACTCAAAAGACTTTTGTATGTGAATTTTCCGATGCTGACTGAGGTAGGCACTTCTGCTAAAGCATTTCTCACAGTCGGTACATTTGTAAGGTTTTTCTCCTATGTGGGTCCTCCGGTGCCTGATAAGGTTAAAACTTTGACTAAAGCACTCACTGCAATCAGGACATTTATAAGGTTTCTCTCCTGTGTGTGTCCTTTGGTGAATCACCAGGGTGGAACTCTGACTAAAAGTTTTCCAGCACTCAGAACATCTGTAAGGTTTTTCTCCTGTATGTGTCCTCTGATGTCTGATGAGATGGGAGCTGAGGCCAAAACTCTTTCCACATTCACAACATTTATATGGTTTTTCTCCTGGCTGGCTCCTACATTCTTCTATCACACTGCAGTTCTGACTCAAACTTTCTTCACAATCTGAACTTTCATAGGGTTTTTCTCCTGTGTGTGTTTTCTGGTGTGCTATGAGGTTTGAACTTCGACTGAAATTCTTCCCACATTCTGTACACCGGTAGGGTTTTTCTCCTGTATGTATTCTCTGATGCTTTATTAGAGTAGAATTACAACCAAAGCTTTTTCCACACTCAGTACATTTGTAGGGCTTCTCACCTGTGTGTGTCCGCTGGTGGCGAATCAGGCTGGAACTCTGACTAAAACCCTTCCCACAGTCAGGGCATTTGTAAGGTTTTTCTCCAGTGTGAGTCCTCTGATGTTCTATTAGGACGTAACTGTGGCTGAAGCATTTCCCACAAACAGGACATTCATATGGTTTTTCACCAGTGTGTAATCTGTGATGCTGAATCAGGTGGGAGCTGCTGCTGAAACTCTTCCCACACTCAGGACATTTATAGGGCTTCTCTCCTGTGTGTGTCCTCTCATGGATAATAAGATGGGAGGTATTGCTGAAGCTTTTCCCACATTCCCCACACTGGTAGGGCTTCTCTCCTGTGTGTGTTCTCAGATGTTGAATCAGGTGAGAGCTGTTACTGAAGCATTTCCCACACTCAGAGCATTTATAAGGTTTTTCTCCTGAGTGGGTCCGTTGGTGAGCACGCAAATGAGAACTGTTATTGAAGCTTTTCCAACATTCAGAACATTTGTAGGGTTTGTCTCTGAAGTATGAATTCTGCTGGACAGAGGCACTGACATGTTCTCCTGGGTCCCAACCCCCATCATTGGGTTTTTCTTCCTCTTTTCCTGTAGAATTTTCCTGATTGTCTGACTTGCCATTATTCTCATAGAAACCATCACACCAAGTTTCATCTCCTTGGGACCCTGTCAGTGGTATTTCTTTTGTATCCTCATGCTTACAATTTTGTAGGCCATCTTTTTTAGACCATTTTGAGGCTCTCTCTTTAAGTTTATCTGCCTTATGGTTATTGTGTTGAACAGTTTCTAAATTATTCTTACTTTCGTGTCCTGCAAAAATAAATAAATATTCTAAATATAGTTCCTAATCTCTGACAGGGGAATTCTGAATTGCAGTGGAAAGAGGAAATAACAAAGTAAAACCTTGTAAATAATTTTTTTTAAAGCTAGTTTTACTTAACATCAGAAGCAAATGAAATTTTTGTACTTAGTAACAACACTAATCAAGTATTTGAACAGTTGTCAGCAATTGCCAAGGGATGTATTCATTAAAAATAAATTCACTAGTTTTATTCTTAAAGACCTAAAAGAAAAAAAGGGATCTGAGTAGGAGAGAAACTGAATAGGACACCATCTGATGTGAAAACAAGACAATGTGTATAGTGTATACAGAAATAACTATGACAGCCACTACAGGTATACCTCATTTTATTGTGCTTAGCTTTACTATATTTCACTTGACAGCAAATACCTGCACCAGATTATGACTTACTTTATTGAGATGCTTGCTTTATTGTGATCTAGAACTGAAACTGTAGTTTCTCTAAGGTATGCATGTATTTACTAAGAACAGTAGCTTTGCGTATAATATCTCATTAATCCATATATATATATATATATATATATATATATATATATATATGTAAGACAAATATTATCACATTTCTTTTTCTTAAAGAAAAAACTAAGGCTGTAAGAGTTAACACAATTAAAGTTTGTCTCAGTCTAATGCCCTGTTCTCTCTACACACCCTATAGCGCATCTTATAATGGATTTCCAAAGTATTCAGATCATCTTCTTGATCCCTCACCTGTAAAAGAGCTTTTCAAACTCTTCCTTTCTGTGAAGCATTTAGAATCTGAGACCAACAAGTTTTTCTCTTGCTCCATCACAATGATCACAACCACATTAGCGGTCAGAAATCCTGTGGAAGGAAACAGGTCACGTTTGGAGGTATTTGTTAATATTTATTCTTCTTCCTTCCCAATCATTGTAACATAACAATTATAGGCATAGAATGGTCTGTTAATAATTCTGAAAATCAGAAATATGATCTTTAGAAGTCCTTTTAGAAAAATCCTTTCTCATATGCAAGTGTTTAGAATTAAGAGTTAACCCAATATATCTTTTCCAAGGAAATAATTTAAAAAATTAAATTTTCACATTAAAATATGAAGATCAGGCTTCAAAAATAGAATGAATACAATACTAATTGTCCACTCAGAGCTTAGAAACACTTTTAATGGAAAAAACAAAGTTTTTTTTATTGGGGCAGGGGAAAGGAACCAATAATAAGACTTCAAGGAATCAATATGCAGGTAAAGAAGCCGCTAAAGAGAAAGCACCCTGTTTAATTTAGAAAGAATAACTTGGTCCTTAAAAGGATGAAACCTTTTAAGTCAATTTCAAAAGAAAGTTAGGATTTCCATAACCAGTAACAAGAAATTAGTGCAAAGCAGGGCTGGGATAATAATTTTAAACAATAACCACTAACTATAAAAGAAAGCGAATGCGAGATCTCTTTCTTGCCTCTAAGTCTATCATAATCCCAATATCCATTTCAGCCTCAACTTTATCTTCTGCAGGCAAATACAATCCCTGACCTACTTTAAGGGACCAAAAAATGTGATCTGTCACTGGAAGGCAGTTATATATGAACTTGGCACCCAAGTTAAGATAGAAAGAATACATAACTTGGAAAAAATGAAAGCCTAAAAGAAAGATATACAAAGGTGTGCATATGAAAAACAAGAAAAAGTTTACAACTACTGAAGTAAACTGAATAACTTGCACATACTATTTCTCATTTAATTCTCACAATAACCGTCTGAGGCATATAAACGGTTACCAACATTTTATAGATGAGTTCAAAAAGACATCAAGAAACTTTCCCAAGGCCACACAATCCGAGAGCGGGAGAGCAGGATTCAGTCCCAAGTCTGTTTGGACACTGTCTTTCACACACTCAGCTATTACAGTAAACTAGAGCAGGAAGCAGAGAGCTGGGCATAACCCCAAACTTCAAATGACCCTCAAAGAAGGCCTTTATTTAGAATACATTGACTGGATGAGAACGGATTTACATCCCTAGACCTTATACCAAATGGAGCTGGCATTCCCTTAGCATCATGAGCAATTAGGGATGTGTTAAAAGAAAAGGTGGAACCAGTCTCAATGTTTTGCTTTCTAAGTTACTACATATTTCTATAAAAGTCCTTACAAAGGAGGCGAGAGCCTGGGTAACATAGCCCGTGCCAGCATTTTCCCTGCTAAGACACTATCACTTTTGACAGTAGAGGGGTCCTCCGGTGCACTGGCTTCCTCAAAGGGCAGCACACTCCAAGCCATAACCGGTACTAAAAGGCTGTCCTTACGGTGTCACTCTATAGAGCAGGCCAGTCTTCACTGTCAGCGCTCAAGAGGGCCTTAGAATGGGGCCTGAGTGCACTGACCGAAGCTGGGCTAATTACGAACCCCTGGCCGGGACTATTCGCTGGGGTGCGCTGCGAGGTGAGGTTCCAGGAGACCCGAGCGTCACCAGCTGACCAGACCCTTAAGGGACTCCCTGGCCGCAGCTGGACCCCCTCCGGGACCGCGGAGCAGCTTCCACTCCTGCCCGCGGCCCTCTGCTCCCTCCCACCCCCCGCCCCAAGAAGGAACTCACTGTTCTGGGGGCTACACACAAGGCGCCCTGCACCCCCCGCAGGCCCAGAAGTCCGGGAGGAAGGAGCCCCTCTCCTTTTGACCCCACCAACCCAGGGTCCTAAACTCAAACCGCTAGACGGGAGCGAGAAGTGGCCCGGCCGCCGGCAGCGTTTCCGGGGCCTCTCTAGGAAACGGTGGCCGCCAGCTCGTTGTTCTTAACTCTTAGGGCCCCGGACAGAAAGGAGGGAGCTGGTGGGGTTCCCTCCCTTGGGCTGCCAATCGCCTTCTGTGATTCTCACCCCTCCCACTAGTCAGGTTCCTGTAATAGGGGCCTGATTAGAGCATATGCTTTTCTTTGACCTAAGGGCATCATTACTTATCATCATCATTACAATCATTAGAATCAAAATAAATGGAGTATTTATTAAGCACCTATTGTTTCTGTTCTCACCGCTGGGGATACGTAATTTAGCTACCTGTGAAACTTGAGGAGCTAAGGCATCCATCCACATATAAAACAAGACGCTTACAAAGCGACTTGCTAATATTCGGAGAAACAGTTAACCTCTCCTCTTTTGTTACAGAGAAAATAGAAGCCAACCTCTTCATACCAAACTTGCAAGTCTCTGTAAGTCTGCAACCCTCACACTCGCTTTCTTCCTTCCAGTTACATCAGAGGACCAGACCTTCCATTTAAAACAAGCCCTTGAGTACTCACCTTCCCTCCCACCTTCTTGGAATCCTTACACTAACAACTAACCTCTCACTTCTCACAACTCTGTCCCAAAATAGTCCCTCAGTTTTAATTATTTTCCTCACAATGTTTCTACTTTATCACTTGCCACTTACCTTTTAAACCATTTCTCCTGCAGTAAAAACAATAAATCACTAAGATTAGTCATGACCTCCGTGTTGTTAGCTGGATCCTTTCTTCAGTTTAGACACTGCTGAAAACTTTTTCAAGGTGATAGCACACTGTCCTCCTTTTTCTCCACAATCTCTAGTCAGGCTCAAAAAACATGGTCTGAGTACAGGTCAGCAACTTACAAAAGGCCTTTTACACATCTTACCTGTGTGTCTTGACGAACTTCTCTGCTAAACAAAAGGATACCAATGAGTCTTAAGGGTCCTGTCCCACAGCAACCTCACAAAGAAGCCATGGCAGAAAAGGGCTTCTCTCATGAAGATTTGTGGGTGTAGCTTTTGTCTAATAGAGTGAATTTTACATCAACATGCCCAAAGCCTCGAGATTTCTGAAAGTATTATCTCAGCTGGAATTGAGGGCCACAGAGACAGCACAACATGATAAGAGATCTTTTGATCCCCCAAGTTTTATTGGCAGAAAGAAGGCTATGAAAACTACTCAGCCACAAACATGGGCTACTGTTGAAGGAAACCAAATTATGCTACTCCAAATGCGCCTCTTTAACATAAAAATTGTTTTGAGCTGAGGGCAATCAAGAAGCAACAAATGCAGGGAAAGCTCTCTCTACCCTCCTCTTTTTCTGCGTAAAGGCAGGATATCAATGCTCCTTCACTGGAGATGGCTCTAGACCAGTGATGGCGAACCTATGACATGCATGTCAGAGGTGACACGCGAACTCATTTTTTTGATTGATTTTTCTTTGTTAAATGGCATTTAAATATATAAAATAAATATCAAAAATATAAGTCTTTGTTTTACTATGGTTGCAAATATCAAAAAATTTCTATATGTGACACGGCACCAGAGTTAAGTTAGGGTTTTTCAAAATGCTGACACGCCGAGCTCAAAAGGTTCGCCATCACTGCTCTAGACTCTTATCAGAACCAGAGGAATCTGCAAACAAACGTTACTCTATTAGTTCCCCTTCCCCCATATATTTACCTTCCTACAGTTTGCCTCCCTTGGAAGCCTAAAACTGTTTTACTTTGTCTTATCATTTCTCTATAGATTTGTTATTGTTTGTTGAAGATGTTATATGAACCAGAGTTCTAAGTCATCTATTTGAGTTACTCTTTCCCTGAGTTTCTCCCATGTACATGGGGTGGGGCAAAAATAGGTTTACAATTGTTCCTATGGAAAAATAATACAATAACTAATAAATAATACAAGAATAAACTCTGTTCCATATACTGGTACTCACAACTGTAAACCTACTTTTGCCCAACCCAGTAAATGAGATAATACATGTTAATAAACTTCTATTTGTTTTCGTTTTTTAATCTGGTTGTTTTGTTTGTTTTTTTGTTACGTGTGTCCAAGCTGAGAACTTAGAAGGAAAAGGATTTTTTTCCTCTTTTCCACTAGCAATAAGATAATATCTAAATTTCAGGAGCTTTCTGTTGAGCCTCGTTTTGGCAACTGTGTTCCTCCCACTGGATGCCAAACTGCTTGTGGTGTTCAGAACACAGCTTGCTCTTTCATGCTTTTGTGCCTTACTCTCTTCCACCATATCACTGCTTCTGGCACGTCTAGCCGTGTCCCTCTGCCTACCTCTGGCTGTGTAGAAAGTGTCCACTCCTCATTTCAGCTCAAGTATCTTCTCCTTAGTTTAGTACCCGTTTACTCTCCCAGGAAGACTTAGACCCTTTCCCTCCCCAAACTGTATTCTGTTTATTAGATTACAGTGTTCTATGTCCCCCAAAATTATGAACCAACTGAGAAATAGACAGGGGTATCAGAGAAGGATCAAAACGAACACCTTTGTGGCAGGTAAAGCTGGATTGGAGCGTTGGCCTTGGGTCCAAGACTTCCTGCAGGTCCCCGTGCATTAGACTGGCTTACTCTCTCAGTTGTAGGACAGAGAAATCCTGCCCCAGAAATGGTATTGACCACATGCACAAGAAGCAGATAACAGGTAATAAATGTTCCATGGGCAGGAAGATCTTAGAGTCCCCAAGGAGGGATAAATCACACACACACATGTTCAGTCCTTTTTCCCCCTCTCTCATCTATTAAATAAGTTGTTGTTTCTGACCCCATAAGTGATAAGGGGTAAAGTTTGAGGCAGTGGAATGAAGGGCAGAAGATTTCCACAAAAATGGAAGTTCTTATTTTATAAAGCTGCAGAAATATGGGGATCAGAAAATAATGGCTCTCCTTTACATCTGTAGGATTCTTGAAGGTGCCTTTCAATAAACATCACAGACTGGATTCAAACAAGAATAAATGAACAAACTTGCTCACCAGGTTGTCTTATATTATAAACTATGTGGATATCTGTCATCCAGGTTAGCAGGAGAGTTCTCTGAACACAGGAATCCTGTTTTAGTCTTACATTCCAAGCACACAGCACATAGTAAAATGCAATGGATACTGAATGGTTAAATAAACTCCTAGGTTACAAGGTATAGACGTCAGTGATGGTATATCCTATTGTGAAGCCTGGACAATTCAAGTCCCTTTATTTCTCCTTTCACTTGTTTCCTTTGTTCTTTCACTCAATTATTTAGCAGATATGTAGTGTCAATTACTATTGACTCCTACAGGGTCAACCTGAACTGAAGTTGGTGTAGATTCTCCTCACCCCCAACTGATTGATACAGGCACTGGCAGGTGAACTTTGGCCTTCCCCAGCCATGGCTGCTTTCAGGCATCAGTGTCAATGATAAAACAGTTCAAACTGTCTTCATAGGGATGCTCTAGGAGTGTTTTCCGCTTCAAGTTACAGTGGTTTGAGCCATAAGGATATTATTATTAACTTAAGAAATGTCTAAGGCAGGCAGTGCAGGATGGATTAAGCAGGTCAGTGATTTTTTTCAAGAACCCATGCCATTTCACTCCTTACTCTCCATCATCCTCAGCATTGTGATGGCATCTCCTCCTCAGGCTTCTCACTTCCTGGCTACAAGATGGCTGCATCAGCTCCTCCCATCACACTGTAACACCACAGTATGCAAAGCAAGAAACAAAGGGAAGAGGACAAAAGGCTTTTTTTTATGTCCCTTTCTTTTCCTAAGGAAAAACATTTTCAACCCCCCTCCCTAGACTTCCACTCCTGTCTCATTGGCCAGAAATTGATCCCATGCCCTCTGATTAGACCAATCGTTGCAAGGGGGAATGGGATTGTTGTGATTGGCTGAGGCCAACATGATTTATCCTCTGGAACTGAACACATTGCCCAAACCAGATTAGTAAAAAGGGGAAGACTGACGATAACAAACTGTCTGCCACAACAAACATGAAACAAAAGGAGAAGCTTCTGGACAGCAGTATCCACCAGCTTTCTGAAGGGCATGGATCTGAGATAACACCTTCGAATATAACTCCAGTACTTTCACCATGACCCCATCCATTGATGGACACTGGAACTGCTTCCATTCCTTGGTATTGTGAATAACATTGTAATTAACATGGAAGTATAGATATCTCTTCAAGACAGTGATTTTGTCTCCTTAGGATATTTACCCAGAAGTGGGATTGCTGGATCATATGGTAGTTCTATTTTTAATTACTTTAAAAGCATCCATACTGGGTTTTTTAAAAATGTATTTTCTTTGATTTCAGAGAGGAATGGAGAGGGAGAAAGAGATAGAAACATCAATGATGAGTGATAATCATTGATCAGCTGCCTCCTGCACGCCTACACTGAGGATTGAGCCCACAACCCCGACATGTGCCCTGACCAGGAATCCAACCATGACCTCCTGGTTCATAGGTCAAGGGTCAACCACTGAGCCATGCCAGCCAGAGCCATACTGTTTTTTATAGTGGCTGTACCAATTTACATTCCCACTAATAGTGTTTGCTACCTTGCCAGCATTTGTTATCTCTTGTCTTTTTGTTATAGTTGTCATAACAAGTTGTGAGGTAATATCTAATTGAGATTTTGATTTGCATTTTACTGATTATTAATAATATCCAGCACATTTTTTTGTACTTGGCCATTTGTCTTCTTTGGGAAAATGTCTACTGAGGTCTATTAACCCTTTATTAGATGTGTCATTTGCAAATATTTTCTCCCTTTCCATAAGTTGCCTTTACACTTTGCTGTTCAGAAACTCTTCAGTTTGATCTAATTTCACACTTTTGCTTTTGGTGTCAAATCCCCCAAATCATGCTCTTTCTCCACCACATGAGGACACTATCAGAAGGCAGCCATCTACAGGCCAGAAACCCAACCATCTGACATCCTGAGCTCATTCTTCCAGCCTCCAGAAC